CAACAGCGGCGTCGGCGTCGCCTCTGGTGATGCAGCCGCCGGCGGAGCTGTCGTCCTCTTCTCCACCTGTCCATCGAGTCACTTCGAGTCACTTCCTTCCCACTTGTCATTCGAGTGCCGCAAATTGCGGCAACAGCGGCGTCGGCGTCGCCTCTGGTGATGCAGCCGCCGGCGGAGCTGTCGTCCTCTTCTCCACCTGTCCATCGAGTCACTTCGAGTCACTTCCTTCCACTTGTCATTCGAGTGCCGCCAATTGCGGCAACAGCGGCGGCGGCGTCGCCTCTGGTGATGCAGCCGCCGGCGGAGCTGTCGTCCTCTTCTCCACCTGTCCATCGAGTCACTTCGAGTCACTTCCTTCCCACTTGTCATTCGAGTGCCGCAAATGCGGCAACAGCGGCGGCGGCGTCGCCTCTGGTGATGCAGCCGCCGGCGGAGCTGTCGTCCTCTTCTCCACCTGTCCATCGAGTCACTTCGAGTCACTTCCTTCCCACTTGTCATTCGAGTGCCGCAAATGCGGCAACAGCGGCGGCGGCGTCGCCTCTGGTGATGCAGCCGCCGGCGGAGCTGTCGTCCTCTTCTCCACCTGTCCATCGAGTCACTTCGAGTCACTTCCTTCCCACTTGTCATTCGAGTGCCGCAAATGCGGCAACAGCGGCGGCGGCGTCGCCTCTGGTGATGCAGCCGCCGGCGGAGCTGTCGTCCTCTTCTCCACCTGTCCATCGAGTCACTTCGAGTCACTTCCTTCCCACTTGTCATTCGAGTGCCGCAAATGCGGCAACAGCGGCGGCGGCGTCGCCTCTGGTGATGCAGCCGCCGGCGGAGCTGTCGTCCTCTTCTCCACCTGTCCATCGAGTCACTTCGAGTCACTTCCTTCCCACTTGTCATTCGAGTGCCGCAAATGCGGCAACAGCGGCGTCGGCGTCGCCTCTGGTGATGCAGCCGCCGGCGGAGCTGTCGTCCTCTTCTCCACCTGTCCATCGAGTCACTTCGAGTCACTTCCTTCCCACTTGTCATTCGAGTGCCGCAAATGCGGCAACAGCGGCGGCGGCGTCGCCTCTGGTGATGCAGCCGCCGGCGGAGCTGTCGTCCTCTTCTCCACCTGTCCATCGAGTCGCTTCGAGTCACTTCCTTCCCACTTGTCATTCGAGTGCCGCAAATGCGGCAACAGCGGCGGCGTCGTCGCCTCTGGAGATGCAGCCGCCGGCGGAGCTGTCGTCCTCTTCTCCACCTGTCCATCGAGTCACTTCGAGTCCCTTCCTTCCCACTTGTCATTCGAGTG